ATATATCACTATTTCTTTTACTTTATGGATATAGAATAAGTTAATCAATAAAGTTAGAATGTTTACTTAATGCATACCAAACAAATTAATCGATAAAGTAAAGAATATAAGGTTTTTCCCATTAGTCTAAACTTCTTTTATTTAGAGGGTGTTTGGATAGGGAAAAAAATGACAGCTTATTGTTTATTGTTTATTTTCACCACAATAAGCTAATTTAAGTGTTTAGATAGAATGCTTAAAAATTAGCTTATTGCGGTGGGAATAAGCTAAATAAGTTGATTTTAATAATCAAGGGGGTAATGCTTATTGTTTATTGCTTATTGCTTATTAGTCATTTTACTCATATAAGCTGTTTTGTTTGCCAAACACTTCAAATGTTTATTGCTTATTGTTTATTCCCACGGCAATAAACTAATCCAAACACATTTTAAAAAAATGCTTATTCCCACCACAATAAGCAATAAGCTAATTAAGCTAAAAATGCATTTATCCAAACACCCTCTTAGTATAACAAGCTCGACTTATTATAAAACTACATATGAGTGTTTCTTGTTTATTTAATATATAAACAACGACTTTATATATTTAATATATAAAGTTATGAATATAAGAATTTTCCTTTAGTTTTAAAAAGGTTTTTTCGAGACCGATCTCAAAAAGACCAGATCAATCCTAGACCAACTCAAGATCGGTACGAGACCAAACCAAGATCAGTCTAAAAAAATGATCGAAAGCCAAAGTTTATATACATATTATTTTTCTGTTAATTACAAATTACCCAACTTCTTTATTTCTTTTTTTTTTATTATTAAATTTTAGTGCATCATATTTGGTAAATATTAATGTATTATTTTAGTGTTGATCACATAATCAGTAATTGGAAAAACTTGAAACCGAAATTAAACAAAAAAAACCTTAAAACAGAACCGAAAAAAACACAAAACTAGACTAGATATGGTCATCAAGAAGGACTTCGTTATTTAATCCTTTAAATACGGCGTCTAAAAGATGAAACAAAAATAAAACATAAGTTTGGATTTCAAAATAGTTAATCTATAAAAATAAAAGTAAAATACAAAAGTATTAATCTAATAGGATATTCTAGTTATTCAATTTAACTAAAATTATGAAACTTTAACCAAAACTAGACTAGATACGGTCATTTTTATTCAATTAACCGGATCAAATTACACTAAAACTAAACAATCCGAACCAAGTAACCCAAATCTCAAACCTATTCAATTTTGGAATTTTTCAACACCCCTAGGTTGACGATACTTTTGGTTTTCTAGGTGCGTACAACTGTTTTAAATGACATAAATCTAGAGTAACTTAGAGCTTTTTTTTTTTTTTTGTTTCCATTCTCATATTTTTGACAAAATTCCAAACTTTGGATAATGAAAGGCAATTGCCAAGAAAAAACATAAGAGTGTGAACATAAAAGGATCACATCATCACATGAAATAAAACGTGGATGCCTAAAAAAGAGAAGATCCTTCCATTATTGTTAGAATATGTCAATGCAGCATTTTGTTTTGTAGTGTCTGTTGGCAATTTCGAGGTTTAGGTGAAGAAATTCTTTTGCATATGCATGATTGTTAATCTCTAAACTTATAAAATCTGTCATATGTTGTGATAAAATATTCACATCTAAACATTTAATATGATCTAATGGGAAATAAATATGATTGTTTGAAAACTTTGCTGAACAAATAGTATTCAAAATAAAAGAATTTTAAAAACAATACCACAACAATAACAGTTATACAAATAAAATATATTTAAACATCTCTCAACATAAAAATTTGCATATAATTCTCAATTTAATTGATTTAATAATATCTCATTAAGACGTTAACAACTCATTAGCATTAGCATTCATGATATAATTTGCTTATGAAAAGCATTTCTAAATATGCTTCGACAAAGTCTTGTCAGACCTATCATCAAAACGCATTACGCATCATAATATTTTACGTAGTTACGTACACATAAACAAACATATCATTCTACCCACCGTTTTTCTCTGAAGCATACCATCAAGCACATTGTATGCATCAAACAAACCATGATTAAACACATTAAAGACTCGATTTTTATATACCCAGATCAGATTAAGAGGTAGGAAGGAGTATGGATTTCAAAAGACGCCACCCACTTATTAAAGAAAACGAAAGGCTAATAAGTTGTGAGGCCGAAAGCATACCAATATTTCAAAGGGCTACAAACGATGACGGAATGTCATGTGACGCTGGAAAAGATAGCAAAGTTCCTTTTGAAATCGGTAGATGAACAATTTTAGACAAAAATGTTTATGTTAGTGGGGTTCTCAACATTTTTTGTTCATTTTAATTTGTATCGAGTTCTATAAATAACTCATATATTAAACATAGGGATCCCTTAAAGATAATATTACTTTTTATAATAAACTATAATACATGAAGTTGTATTCCACCAACTACAATAAAACAGATTTCATAATTTTTCATTTAATTTAAATTTGTATATCCACTTTGGTTGGTTAAATAAACATGCTAACATGTAATTAGTTTTAGAAAAAAAAAATCCAGAAATGGTCCCCGTCGTTTCTAAAAAATCACAGTTTTTAAGACAATTTTGGTAAAGATTGGATCATTGATCTTATTGGTTTCAATTTCTTACCTTTATAGGTGTAGATTGACCCTTTTAGGAATGCAAGGTAAAATGTTGTCACTACTTAATTACATAGTTTTTTTTTTGATTTTTTTTTTTTTTTTTGTTTCTGTTACTTGTCAGTTCTAAATTTATACTTAATGAATTATTTTATTATAATGAACTAACTTGTGATGATAAATTAAAGAATATACACCCTTCTAGAATAAATCCACTATACGGCAATCTCATAAATTTATCAAGAAGCTAAAAAGCTTTCTTTGAATTATTATTGTCTACCAGTGGAATCTCGTGTTTTCTTTGTCGTGCTTTTAATAGAGCCATAAGGACTATGCGTATATATTAATTAGATAATTAGATAATGGGAGCACATGTTTATATACTCTTGTGTTTTTTCAAACAATATAATATTATTAAAAACACATGTGCTTGTTTCAAATTTTCAATATATATATATATATATATATATATACTAGCCGTTACCCGCGCACAGCAGCGGGGACAAATAGCTTCTTTCAACGATATTTTTTTAAAGAAAAATGTTATGTTCCAAAAGAAAGTTCATGCCGTGGGTGAGAGGAATGGCGGTAGTCGTGATAGTGGTTGGTTGAAGGCGGAAGGAGGCAAAGCGGCTGTGGTGGTGGTGGTTATACTGTCTTGGTTACTGGTTAGGGTTCTTCGAGAGAGTGTGCGTATATTTCTTACTTTGAAGGGATTACGAAGATAAATATTATGAGATGACTTGTTACCAATGTGAGAAAAAAGATCCTCTATAAATTGTTGACATTGACCGCTTCAAATGGCTGAAGTGTTGAGATTGACGGGTTCAATTTGCAAATTAATTTTTCTATTAATTTGATACGAGATTTTTAGGGGATAAAGGATAGGGTTAAAGTTTTAATATTATTATATTATAAATGGGTTGTACTTCAAGCTTAATAGTTTAGACGTCTTAAAAAATAATATTATTATATTCAATCTATTTATAGAAATAATTAGATTTCTTTTATAAGTAGTAAAGATATATATATATATATATATATATATATATATATATATATATATATATATATATATATATGGAAAACTGAATATGTGACTATCATGTACCTAAGCTTAGGTATAAAACATTTTAAACAACGCTAGTTTTAAATAAAACAAATCCAATTTCATTTATCATAGTTTTGTTTTAATAAAATACAATTGAATTAAGTTCAATTATGGAATGAAAAATATCAATTATATATATTGTTATTGCGAATAATTATTGAAGTTTATAGAGAAAATAAAAACCAATAATTTTTAACAAATATAACTAAGACGTTTTGTCTTTCAATTGAAAAACTATATCCAATGATTTTATAAAAAGTTTGACGGATTTATAACATGTTATTTAATCTTTTATTCTATTAGTTTTCATTTAGAATTTTATAGGGTTCCTTAAATGGTCACAATTTTTAATGTTTTAAATTTTTAGACACGATGAAGAAAAAGAACATACATTTGATCGATTTAGTAAGTTACATGATTACAGAAGAATACTAAAAGAGATGTAATGATTAGTTTTGGATATAAATAGATCAAAAATACATTGTTTGGAGGGTTCTGTATATAAGCTTAGGTACATGACAACCACATATTCCCTAAGCTCATATATATATATATACTTATAAAGCTAGCATTTTTTCTTGAATCTCATGCATTTAAAACCCTTATTCTTTTTTTCTTTCACCACATTCATTTGAAACTCCCACGACTTTTCAATTTCTTTATAATAATAATTATAATTTGGTAATTAGGTTAAATAAATATCAAATCTAAAGTATATTCATATATAAACTAAATTTCAATACTAAAATAATATCTTTAATTCTACTTATAAAATTATGTTTTTTAACTTTTAACATATTATACTTAATTTATTAGTTTTAATATATTGTTGGATGTAAAGCATTATCATTTTAAAGGTATAATTTTTGAACAATTTGTATAAAATACTTAAATTATTAATTAAAATATAGCATTATAGGCTCAACTTAAATATAAATTTTATTTAACTTAAACAACCCAAAGATTATTTTATAAATAGTTAAAAGTGAAAAATTATAGTGTCTTTCTAATAATGATTGTAAGTTGCTTAATAAGGTTAAATAAATATCAAACCTAAGGTGTAATCATGAATAGACTAAATTTTAATTTTAAAATGAGAATCC